CTCCGAACACCTGGTTCGTGCTGAGCTTAGTTGCAAACCTCACTAAAGCTGGGTGGAAATGAACTTTTCCCCAGCTCCAATACATTATTCCTTCCTGAAATGCAAAGTATTTGGGGTTTGCCTGGTCTCCAATGGCAACCAATGAGCTTCACAAAAGAGCTTCTGCTGGTGGAGAGGCAAACTGCTGGAACTCGGGGATATGAACTCTCCTTCGCATGGCGATTGGTTCTAGATGAAGGGCTGATTATGGGTCGAGTGTAGGTTGAGTATGGGTTGAGCGAAGGTTGTTGCAGAACTGTGTGTTGTTGAACCACCCGCCATCTGCCATCTGAACCCAGCTGAGACGGCTAATCATGGTGAACAACCCCCAGTTTACCACCCAGCAACAAACCATGGGTCCTCTTCATGAATTGTTCATGGTTAACAAGCCGTGACTATTAGTGCAGCCGGTTTCAGATAATAGACTAACCCATGTTTCAACAAGGACCCACAGTGAAATCAGCCCTTGACTGAGGGTTTTGCCCTCTGAGTGTCTCCACTTTAAGATTTGCCATATCACCACTGTATATACATTAAGACCGAGTAGGGCAAGGAATGGCTTCTTCCCCCACCACGCGTCCAGCCCAAGTTTTATGCTGTTTCCCTTTTAGCTCTACTAGTTGGTGTTTATTGTTTAGTTTGGCCCGTTAAGAACTAGCTATGCGATTACGCCCAGTTTTTTCCACTGGGATTTAACAACGTGGAGCCCCTTTACAAGTGGTGCTTTGGCTATGGCAGCACTTCGAGATGGGTCAATGTCCGACTGCACACAAAAAAGGCTATTTTAAGCAATAATGGACCAAAGCAAGGAAATGCAGAATGAGGGTGGTCCTGCCTCTCCTTTTAGAAAGGACAGCTCTGTTTGTGGAGGACTGCCAAGAGGGCAATCCTCCATTTGGATGTGTCCTTTAGTTGAAGGTTGTTCTGCCCCATTCCAGGCGTCCCCACTATGGGGAGGTGAATGATATTTCTATCCAAAGTATAACAGTTCTTCAGTCTGCATCCACACATTTACATTAGTGTGTGCATAATTTATTCAAATAGCTGACCTCTAGGCTGGCGATTCCTTTTTTGGTGATTCCTAAGCAAAACTTCTCAGAACTCTCCGGATTTCCCTACACAGACGCAACTCATTTAGGCTCCCTCCCATTTTCATTTGTGACCCACTTTCTGATTTGTTCAAATAGGAAATGCACATATTTTGAACAAAGCGGGTGGATTTCAAAAGTGCACTTTTTCAAAAGTGCAGACTTTTGTCCTGTTGACTAAAGCATGTACATGCTTTTTCTTAGTGCATTTCAAAGTGTGTATTTTAAATTTCAAAAACACATTTGCTTAATGTGATTGCATGTTCAAGATTGTATGGACTTTTGTTTTAAAAGTTCCTGTTCTGTTGTGAATGGGAAAAGCCCAAATCATTTGTGAATGAAAATGAAATTCCCCTATGTAATTCCATACGGTTGTGATTTGGAGCTATCTATTTGGATATATATTTAGTTCTTGCTTTCCTTGCTCTGGGACTACATTTTGAGTCTGTATTGTGTTGGTTTCTCCACTGGCCATTATGCTGGACTTCGAGAAGCTGTTGCTAGTTCTAGTGCTCATCCAAAGGAGTGGTCCTATATTTATCCATGAAATGTTGGAAGAATGGCCTGCCCTCTTGGAAAGATATCCTAGAATTTTCTTTGCTTTGAATTCTCTGATGCAAATGGAACTTTGATGCTGTGTTTCTGCACAATCACACCTTTGGGACTGTATTTATTGCTTTACTTCATTTTTATACCACCCAACGGACAAGGCAGTCTGGGCAGTTAACAAAAGCTAAAATTAAGCAACATTGAAAAGAGAATTGCACAAAAATAATTTAAAAGAACAGAACCATAATAGCAGTAGCAATCGCTATTATTCAACACAGAAGCCTAACAGCACTACAGAATAAAAAGAGAATCTAGAAAAACAAAAAGTTTAAAAGTTAAACAGCCAAAATGTGCAGAGAGCCAGTGTGGTGTAGTGGTTAAGAGCATGGGACTGGGACTCAGAGGATCTGGGTTCTAGTCCCTGCTCAGCCATGGAGCCAGTTAACTGGGTGACTTTGGGCCAGTCACAGACTCTCAGCCCAACCTACCTCACAGGGTTGTTGTTGTGGGGATAAGATGGAGGAGGAGGTATAAGCTGCCTTGAGCCCTTTGTAGGAAAAAGGCAGGATAGAAATCGAAAAATAAATAAATAAATAAATAAATAAAATAAAATATCAAGGTCTTCCCTTGACACTGAAAAGAATACAAACAAGGTGCCAGACACTCTTCTTTGGGAAATCCATTCAAAAAATGGGGGCCACAACCAAAATGGCCCTCCCTCTGGTAGCCACACACCTTTGGCAGGTGACCCCAGAGAAGTACCCCCAGAGATGACCTCAGGGTCTGGGTAGGTACATATGGGAGGAGGCGACCCTTTCCCGTCATAGCTAGAGATGGAAACATCCACAATGGATTCCAATGAGCTTGGATGGCAATGATGGATTCTGCAGTGTGCTGGCTGTTTTTGAACTGCACAAATTCCATGGAGTTATGGATCACAAATTCGTTAGAATGTCCATTTTATGGAAATTTTCTCAGAAAAAAAGATGTACTTTGAACGCATGCTTCACTCCATAAGCTAAAGCATGAAAATTGACATATTTGCATTTTATGGGGGATTGGCACACTTTTGGGAGTGCACATTTGTGAAAACGCATTTTCACAAAATCCAGTCCTGTCCATGAGAGGATGATGAAATGAAAGGTACCCAACAATTTGCAAGGAACAGGCAGGTTGGGTTTAACATATTCCATGCATCCTTAGTTATAGGCATGTGGCTTAAATAACAGGCTTTTAGAAAACAGTTACAGGTGAGCAACATTTTTTCCCCCAGTGGAGAAATATTTTTGGATGGAGGTGCTGGGGGTTGTAGAGCAATCATTTTTCTCATGAACTTTGAAAGAAGACTCAGTATTTTTGGCAAGCTCCTCACAGTCAAAACAGTAAAGGAATTAAAGCATATTGAGGGCTGAGGCCCAACTGAGATGTTATTGTCTTGACCACAGGTCTTAACCAACTTAAAGCATTACACACACAAATAAGAGCTGTAATGCCAAATTAAATATAATAGTATGAGTATAAATAATACAAATTAAATATAATAGTATCAATAAAATAAAATCATAACAAAAGCACACAATGAAATGGTACATTATCCTTCTAGAAATCTATATAAGATTGGCATTGTCACATCACTTGAAAAAGGAAATAAGGTCACATTTTTATTTGGTTAATTTTCTTCTACTTTTCTGTTTTTAATGCATATGCACACATTCACCTTCTCGCATCATTGCCCTTTTAATACTGGCAGCAGTTCTTCCAGGTGACTTAAAAATCCAGCCATTTATTTAATCCTTGAAAGTTGGTATAGAAAAATATAATGGGGGGACATGTTACAGCTTTCTCCATGCTAGTACCATACAGATGTGTTGGGACTACAGCTCCCATCATTCCTCAGTGCTTATACCCATTCATGGACGTTGTAGTCCAGCACTTCTGGAAGGGACCGTGGTGGTGAAGGGCTCCTTAGTACTTCAACCCCGGTGCATTTGGCCTTTTTGCAGCCGTAATCCAAAACAAGGGCTGGCTGAAAGTTCTCTTCTGGCCTCTCTTGCAATGTCAGATGCTCCTGGAGAATATCTGGCAAAAAGTTTCTCTGTCCATGAATCAAGTGGCAACGCTGTGGGTCCAGTTTTATTGACTGTTTAAAGATTCTTTTAATACTGCTTTAAGGAAGCAAATGCCTTATCCCCAAGTATTGCTAATCCTTCTTGTTCCTTCATCAATCAGTTTCATTCAGTATTAATTGTGCCAACACATATCTGAAGAGAAAGATTTTTTTTTTTTTAATGGCAGCAGAATTCTACCCCTCATCTTCCCAATACACCTGGGAGTACTCGGCATCACTCTTTCCCAATTCTTTCTACAAGCAAATACGATGGAGAATTGTTAAAGGCCTTTTCCAATTGCTCTGATGAACAAATGGAATTTGTCCAAACCTCAGGAAAGTGGAGCTTCTTCATATGGGATTATGAGTGTGCTGAAAATCTTGGTCAAATATGGTGAGATTTTATCCTTTGGAGCCATGAAACTGACTTGAAATTGCCCAACAGTATCAGTTTATGCTGAATTGATGCCATTCTCAATTGATTTTTAGCTTCCAGTTTAGCAGCTGCCATGTATGAATAGGTCCAACAGCTGAAGCAGCCGAAACTGGTTTGGTTTCAACTGGTTGAAGCAAGTTTTAGGGCACTGCATTGCTCTTTTTGAGGTGCTGACGGAAACCTGATCATAAAAGCATTTCTTGAGGTCTCTGATTTAAGTGTTTGTTATACTGATACAACAGTTTACCTGGGACTGCATTTAAGGCATAGATTGCCAGAACTGGTATCTATGGCTATTGTTCAGTTCTAGGTAAAGGGAAGAGCTTCATTCAGTTTGGATTTTGATAGGCATTTGCCAAATTGCAAAGTGGCAACACAGTTGCTCAAGCGGCCCAGCATTTTTCATTGCAGTGTCCAAATGAAAGGTGCATACAAACATGGATAACACTGGAAAATTGTCTAAAAATGTGTAGATGAATGGGGGGGGAAAACATACACAAACAAATCATTAGGGAAAACTGTTTTGCAAAAACATTGCTTATCTTAAGCAGCTTGGCACAAAAATGGATACAGATTTTCATGCATTTTTTCTTTACCTTTTGAAGTCACAATGACATGAACTAAGAATTGGAAAAATGAGAAATGGGGAGAAATGGAAGCTGACAGGTGTGTTCATCCCTTCTCAATCCCGTAAGCGATTGTGGCTACAGAGATGGGGTTGCTACTGCTCTAGTTGCTTTATCACAGTCATTCTAATTCTCTTTTCTTCTGTTCCCTGCAGACTGTGACTCTTACTGCAAACCAGCCAAGGGCAACTACAAAATCAACATGAAAAAGTACTGCAAGAAAGATTATGGTAAGGCAGGGCTTCTTTCCCACCACAAACCCAGTACTCAGATCTAGAATTTCATCTTCAGGATCATCTCTCTTCCAGTCTTACCCTCTGGTAGGCCAGGAAGAGCCCAGTTTGCCATGTGCTTCATTTGTCCTCTGCCTCTGGCTTGGGGAAACACTTCTGAAGGAACCTCTGGCAGCCATATTGTTGAAATCTGCTGATCAAAAGCTTGGGCTTCCCAGAATTAGACCTAGGCAGCCTGCAAGGTGTGGCTCGATCTAATGAAGCCCTTACCCCTCATTCAAGGGTGGGTGATGTTGGAAAACCCAGGGAGTGTCTTGGTCTCCTGGACTCCAGCCACAGACACCGCTGTGGCTGGAGTCCACACTTCTCCATAGTGATGAAAAAATAGTCAGGGCGTCTGAATTGACTCTGAAGTACCAACAGTGGCAAAATTAGCTTGGCTTCAAGCTAACCCGGGCGGCTCTGTAGGGGATATTGAGCACTGCAAGGGTTGCAAAAGGCTTCAACATGGCCTTCGACAGATAGAAATTTGGGAGATTTTTTAAATTGTTTACAATCAGGCGGCAGTGGGAGGCAGTGGTGGACCCCTGCCTTCACACAAGATGCACAGGGACTAGTTGGAGGCACCTTAGAGGTGAGAGGAAGGTACGTTTCATATGCTCTCCGGCTGGTTAAGTGATGCACAGCTGTTCTGCATCATCATGGATTCCTGCTGAGCTTGGGTAAGCCAGGATGGGCAGACCCGGAGCACAATGTGCGGAGGCAAAGGCTTGTCCTGAATTAAGCCAGGAACATCTCCTGCACGTTCCCCGTGCTTGTGGCTGCTCCAGCCCCCGCCCCCGCCTCCAAAGGCTGCCAATCTTGCCTTTTCTGCCCAGCTGAGAATTCACACATACTTGCGCACACAAAATGCCCCCGAACCTACAAAAACATTTTGTGCACTTTCACCCCACCCACAGTCCCTCCCTGTCTGCCAAATATGTTAAAAAGAACATTTTCTCTCTCCGCTTGTTGTGCGAGGTGTGTGGGGTGGGGGGTGGGGGGAAGGCTTGAATGGACGGGGAAGAGTGCAAAGTGTGGGCCTGAGGCATCCTGACTGGAGGCTGTAAATCACCCAGACACAGGAACATTCAGCCTTTGGAGTGGAGGGAGGATCGCTAAAGCGGCTGAGGTTTGTGATTGATCTTCCACAGGAACTCCTTGGCTCCAAGAGAATAGATGTTTTTGGCAAGGTGGAAAGGCCTGCCAGTAGAAATAGTGCTCACATGGCAGCAGTGCAGTTGAAGGAAGAAGCAGGAGGTGGAGGAGGAGGAGAAATCACATTTGCAGGGGCACAATTATCCTTCAGATAATTGCCATCAGATTCAATGTAGGCAGTCCTTTTAGCATTCATCAGTCAGGCTCCAGAAGACGTCACTATGAAACAAATAAAGCACGATTTTAAACACTGGGAAGCATTTCCCTGTGCTGCAAAAATAAAAGGGCTGCTGGCTAGACCCATGGAGATAAGAAAAGCGATCTATGGTGATGTGGCAGGTGCCCCAAGTGGCTGATGCTGGGAGGTGGGTGGAAGGCGCTTGAGGAGGAAGCTGTGGGCCCGTGGGTCTGTAGTCCTTCTGAAGTCAAAGGCGCTTTTGTGCATCTAGCCTCCAGGGGATTTTGAAGGGGCCTTACATCAGCAGCAGTTTTGCATGCAAAAGGTCCTCAGATTCAGTTTCTGGCACCACCAAGTAGGGTTGGAAAAATTCATGCCTGAAATCCTGGAGCGCTGCTGCCTGTAAGTGTTGACAGAGCTGGGCTAGAGGGGCTGATGGTGTGACCTGGTGTGAGGGTGCTTCCTCTGCTCTGTCTCTTCGTTATAGCCCCGGCTTTGGCTCAGCTTCACCCTACATAGGGAGTTCTGGACGGCAAAAACCTGCAGGAATTCCTAATGTACGGGGTGGTGGGAATGAGATTCCATGGCGCCACCATCTTGCCAGGGGCCATAGCTCAGTGGTAGATTGCATGCCTGGAATGCAGAAGGACCCGGCTTTGATCTCTGCACCTCCAAGGCAGGCTAGAGAACTCCTGCCAGAAGCCCTGAGGAGCTGCTGCTGCAAGCCCGTGTCAACTGCACCAGGGTGACATGGTCCAAGAGTCTGGCTAAGCACAAGACCGCTTTCGATGCTCCTAACTTTTTATAATGTATGGCAGTCCCCAAGGTTCCCATGGCCTAAGGAGCAGCGTGCACAATTTACACCTGGAGCATGGGTGAAAAATCTCACAATAGTGCAACAACACTTTGAACACTACATTTTTTTCATTCATTCATTCATTCATTCATTCATTCATTCATTCATTCATGGCATACATAGACTGCTCCACATCAAAACATTAAATGGGGGGAACCCGTAAGAGGAACAAATCAAAACACTAAAAGTCAAAGCAAAACCAACATAGAATGCCAGTAAAAACCATGGTTGATCAATCAGGAAGGTTCCTGAAAAGAAAAACTGGTGCCAGAAGCAGAACAATGCTGGTGCCTGAGTGATCTCTAAAGACAGGGGATTCTACAGGGAAGGCGGCAGCTCAGATGGTCCTATGCTGGGTGGAATGAAGTTAAGCCTGGGCCATCATTGGCTTCCATGGGCAGGAGGAGACACAGCTTGCCCTTGCTTTAGGCAGTAAACTGTTCTGAGCCTGCTCCAGGCCTAGGTGATCCACAGAGATGGCAAGCCTCTCTCCCAGACCCAGGAGCCAGCAGGGCTTACCAAGGCATAAACCTGAGCATTGACAAAAAAAACTTTGGGCATCAGCTTAACTCTCTCTCTTTTCTTAACTCTCTCTTTTCTCATGCTCTCCCTTCAGTTGTCCAAGTCAACGTCCTAGACATGGAGACAGTGGCCAACTGGGCCAAATTCACTGTCAACATCCTCTCAGTCTACAAGTGCAGGGACGAGCGGGTCAAACGGGGTGACAATTTCCTGTGGATTCACATGAAGGACTTGGCGTGCAAATGTCCCAAGATCCAAATCAGCAGGAAGTACCTAGTCATGGGCATCAGTGAAAACCCCACCGACCGGCCAGGACTAATGGCAGACAAGAACAGCTTGGTGATCCAGTGGCGGGACGCCTGGACCCGGCGCCTCCGGAAACTGCAGAGGCGGGAGAAAAAGGGGAAGTGCTTGAAACCGTGATTGGCTTAGGCTCACGTCTGTTAATACATGCTTCCCTCTTCTCCCGCCCATTGGTTCCCTGTGCACTCCGCTCAGCAGACTGATCTAAGAGACTCTGTACATAGACCTATCATGTGAATGGATGGACTCGCTTGTGTATAGTGTATATTTTGGCAACAGGTTCTCTTCTGTGTGTGCGTGGGGGGAGCAGGGAGAGATGTGTGCATGCGTGCATGGGTCTTTTTTAATGTTTATTAAAAGTAACACGGTAATGACAAACCTTTAACAAGGAGCAAAGTGAAGGAAAGGTCTGGTGAGAGCCAGTTAATTGAAGAAGCTCGGGGGAAGACAGCTCAGATCTTCTCTGGGCAGGAACGACTAGCCTACCTTGTCCTTTTTTACCGTCTCTCTGAATCTGTTCAATTCCAGAGGGCAAGCCATGTTAAACCTGAACTTAGATTTGGACCTCCTGAAAGATCTCTGGGTGGGTTGCAGTAGGTTGGCGAGGTTTTCTGACTCTCAATCCTTTGGTGATAGCAGCGGCAAAATGACTCCACCCCACCCTAAATTATACTGCTAAAATGAAGAAAGCTTGTGGTAAATACGAGAGAATTTTTGGGTGGAAGGAAAGTGAGCTTCATTGAGTTTTGTGATTCAACATAATTTCTTGGACTCAGAATTCTTAAATTCCAAGCGCATGCCTTTCGCACCAGGCTCTGGTTGGTGGATCTTGGGGTTCTAATAAAAAACCGAAGCAGATCCTACAGGCCTGAAGCCTGCCTGCTCATATGCTACCATGGAAGGTCCCACACAAAGAGCAAAAGAGAACTTCGGGGTACCTTAAAACAAATGGTTCTAGTACAAACATAGATGGTTGGAGCGTTATCCTCAGTTGGCCAAAAGGGTCTGCTAAAATTCTCAACTGTATTCACAGACTAATAGGATTGTCTTGGAAATATTCTCTGGCGGGAAAATACTGCAGCAGATTCGCAGGGGGAAGCCTTTTCTATCCTCCCAGCACAGTGCCCTAGACATTCCAGGACGTTGTGGGAAAATAGCTGCCGCCACAAGATAACGGTGGAGAATATGGTCAAAATGGCCTTCCTTTTCAGAGGAAGGAGTGAAAAATAAGCATACAAATGGAGTGATAAAAGAAAGCCCATTTTGGTGCAATCTACAGCTGGTAGACACTGGCTGGCTGGCCGGCCATAGCAAAATGCATAGTCCCAGCTCGGATCTCAGAAATGCGTTCCAAGCTCAGAGCTGGAACCTGGACCTTGCCATGCCTTCCCTCTGCTCTTGCAACGGGCACGGTCTTTTCTACACCAGCCGAGGTTCTGAAGTCAGGAGACTGATCAAGGCTGCTGCTGGTGGGGGGAGGATTCCTGGAGGCAATGAGCCTCTGCCAAAATACTAAGCATAAAAGGTTCCGCTACGTAAGCGTTTTGTAGGGCCGGAGGAATAAAGGGGTGGCCTTCACCTCTGCACTTTTCCCGTCCTCCATGGGATGGTCTCTTCAGCTTCAGGAGGGCCATGGGCATTCCGACTGGTTTGTACACTTAATCATAGTTTTAATTGATCGCTCCATTAAATTTGCATACATTTGCATGTGAAAAAGCTATTGTTTTAAAGAAACAGTTCTTCTTTTCTTTCTAGATATTGCACACATGTCACAGTGGGCCTGCTCTTAGAAAGTCCTCCCCTGTTTTCTCACAGGAAGGACCGTCTCTGTTAAGACGGCATTTTCCATCTGCAGTTTTCATTAAGTGCCTGTATTTAAAAGGAAGTCAAAAATAAATCTACAGTCTAATTCACTGGGGGGCATCATGTTCAGAAGATCAAAATGTTTTCATTGTTGATTCTAACCCAGGGTGGGCCACATGTGGCCCTCCTGATGTTTTGACCCACAACTCCATTATCCCCAGCCAGCAATGGTGAGAGAATGGGAATTGTAGGCCAAAACTTCTTAAGGACTACAAGTTGCCACCCATGATCTAACCGACTGATCCACTGAATTGTACAACCCCAGTGTACATTCATTATGGCTAAGCCCAAAGTCCTCTAATGAGAAATTTATTTTTTGTGCAGGCAGGTGGGAGAGATTCTGGGGGTGAAATCTCCCCCCTTCCACATTCATTTGCCCCACCTGTTTTGCAGCTGTGGGGCCTCAGTCAGCAGCAACAGTGCCCCTCACACCTTCTCCCCCCAGCTAAATCCCTGTGGTCTTGCTTAGGGGTTACGCCAGATGGGTCGGGGGCAGTGGGCTGTGCATGACAGTCCCTCCCATCTCCGCTTCCCCAGCGCCCAGCCTCCCTCCATGAACCACGAGGTCTGAAGGAACCTCTGCTCCCCGTTGCGTGCACGCAAGCACGGGCCTTCCCAGGCTGGGCAGGGGCAGCCTCAGGGGTAGCTTTGCTGGGGCACCTGCCAAGGCCCCCTCCCAAGCTTTGTCCCACCAGCACGAGCCACATGGGCTCGCACCTTCGCACCACCGCAGCCTGCTTCTTCAGCAGTCTGGCCCAGATCGTGGCGGTGGGGAGAAGGAGACTGAGAAAATGCTGCCGCCCGCTTGCTCCTGGCTCCCTCCTTGCCAAGTGAGCGAGGGGGGCCATGAGGAGGAGGAGCAGCAGCTGCTGGCAGTGGTGGCGAGAAGGTGCACTTGCTCGAGGACGGAGCCCACAGAGGGAAAGACGCCAAGGGGCACCAGAGGCCTGGAATCAGCACGGCAACTGGGAGCTCGGCTTGATGCGAGTCCTCAGTCTTGCTCTGGGCAAGAAGGCCAGGGCTAGGAGGGGAAGGCAGCAGGCACAGGCCCCCAGCCGCCGCAAGGGTGACTTGTAGCCCATCATCCAGGGCTGTTGCTTCAAGGGGAACGCAGCAGTTCCTGGTCAGGGAGGAGAGTTCCACAGACAAGGCTCTCCTTGGCACCCCTTCTGACACCCCCCAAGCTGGCAGAACGCCCCCTCCCCAACCCCACTGCTTGCCATTGTTGCAGTGCAGGGGGCAGGAGGCACTTGGGCTCAGCTTTCTTGTCAGCACAGAGAAAACCACCCTCTGAGCTCGTGTGTCGCTGGCTGCACCTTGCACTGGGGGTGCTTTGGCCTCCGCTGCTGACGGGGGTCTCAGTTTCAACCTCTGTGTGTCTGTATTTGCCATGAGAGGCGGTGGGCTGCAGTCCATGAACACATAAAGCCACAATAAATCTCTTAGCTTTTAAGGTGTGACGAGACTCTCTTTGTGTGTGTGTGTGTGTGAGAGAGAGTGGGGGGGCTTTGTCTGCACCTGTCCTCTGATTCTGGGGCCATCTGCCCCACGCCGAAGGTAGCGCCTACTGGCTGGGATTTCTAGCAAGCCCCATTTCTCCTGCCTGTTCGTAAAGCTCCTGTTCTTAGTAGAAGCCACTGGGCAGTGATTTGGGAACGACTGGGACAGCCGTCTGAGTGGGATGGTGTAAACTGGTGTCCCGCAAGAGCAGGGGCTTGGACACAGTGGCCTTCTTGGCCCCCTCCAACTCTAGTGTCCGATGATTCTATGATTCAGCTTCTATTTAAATGTTGCCGCTGTGGTTTTTAGTTCCTTCTGACTGTACAGGGGTGCCCTCGCCTTGCAGACAGATAGGCCTGAAAAATAGGTAAACTGCATAACTCCTGGGCATCAAAATCCCGGGGGGGGGGGGGCTCTGCAGTGAGTAGTGCTGAGGCGCCTTCTTCCTGCCCTTTGACCCCTCTGCCTGCCCCCATCTCTCTCGTTGCTGGTCCCACCTGTTCCGGGGGGACAGTAGCCACATCCCACTGTTGCTTGTGGACTCCAAGCCGGCCCACTGCCAAGACAGACGTGCAAATCCGCCCTGAAGCAGAAAGCCAAATTTGTCACAGAAACTAGCACCTGCCTCAGCCGCTCGGGAGCCACGGAGGTTTGCCTGAGGGGCCACGGCTGCCCTTGGCCCAGCTGCTGTGACGTCACCGAGGGCGTTGCCTAAGGCGTCATGGCGGCCTTCTGCTTGCCACTGCGAAAGCTTAGGGCCAAGTTGCCATCTGCTTGCATGCATGTGGAGAGCAGGGGGAGCTCAGCGCTGAGGTCCACGGACGTGGAAGTCCGGTAGCATTAACACTGCACGTCCATCTTTGCCCGTCCGAGCACACCTTGCTGCTTAGATGTCTAAAGCCAATCGTATTTGTTTGCGGCAGAAGGTTTGTATTTTGCGTGAACGTACGGTTTTCCTGCCATCTGCTTGGTGTGAGGAAGGGTGATTCCATAGGGTTGGACATAACAAGCGCACAATGAGATGATGAGTGGCTTGGCTCAGGGCCAGCAGTCGCTCTTTTTAGCAGCTAATTCAATGGCCATCCGGCTGCCGATTCAGCACAGCCTGAACACAGCATTCTTGTGTGCCTGAATGGCTTGCCTGGCAGATCCAGCCACTACAGTGAAGCTCTTGTCTCGGATTCAGGCAGCATAAGGCTGCAATGCTGGCCATGTCTGGCCCGCCACCACTGTCTCCTGGAAGAAGCTGCCTCCCCATTTTTCTCTGGACTGGCTGAACTACTGGAGGCCGTTGCCGTTCGGTCGGTAAAGCTAGGAGTACGGAAAGGTGTGCTATACAGAATGAAATCATGGATCCAGCTGGGGCAGCATGGTCGCTGATGACTTGAAGCTGCTTTCCAGGGTTTCCGGCAGCTTCTTTCCAAGTTCATTCTTTGACCCTCCTGGCTCTTCCACACCGAAAGCATGCTGTTCGGAACGGCTGGCTGGGTTCAGACAACACAAGCCATGGTGATTTTTTACCACTGTTTGTTGCATTGCCTGAACCCAGTCATGTAATTTCAGCATGGTAAGTTTGGTCTTTCGTAACCACAATCAGAAACAATGGCTTGTTCTACGGGTACTCCATAGCAGCCCGGCTTGTTGTGTTGTCCAAATCAGGACCATGGTTTCTACAGTGCTGGTATGAAACCACCATAGACTTCCCTGGAAAAGCAGCAGCTGCAGGAGTTGCTCCAGCCATCCAGGCTCTTATGTAT